CTGGAGTCTATTGGCCAGGTGAGTCGTTCGCTCCTGTTGATGTGCTCTGTTGCTGCTGCTGATGCTGCTGCCGGCGCTGCTGCTGGCACTGCTGCTTGTGTCGGTGTTGCTCTTCCCTTTTGAGTATTGCTCTTTGGGAGAAGTGTAGTTTTTTTTTTTTTTTTTACGATAATACGAAGACCCAGCGAAGTTCAAAACTGTGTTGGAAATATTAGGTTGTTTTCTTACTCTGACGAACGCCGTCAATTTATAGATGCGTCAAGTGCGTACGTTGGCGGGAAACCTTTCACCTGCCAGCAGGGAAGCCTTGTTCACCTTGATTTCGTGAAAAAAATGTATAGCTCTGTGAGACGAGCATTTCACGCAGATGTTACTGATATTCGTGTGTGTTTTGTGGATTGCTAAAACAGTATCAGATTTCCCGGCGTTATCCCCGCTATTGTCCCTTTTTGCTCCAAGCAGATAGTAGCCGTGAAGCAGCTCGACCGTAACGGAATGCAAGGCAACAGAGAGTTTCTCGTGGAGGTGCTCATGCTGTCGCTGTTACACCACTCGCATCTCGTGAACCTGATTGGTTACTGCGCCGATGGCGACCAGCGGCTATTGGTTTACGAATTCATGGCGAACGGCGCACTTGAGGACCATCTACATGGTAAGAACTAACTTTACTGTCAAACTCGATCCTCTAAGCTGTCAATCTGATAGTTAATTTTGCAAGTGCCGTTATTATTAATTAAGTGCAGCTGACACGTATCACACACAAGGATGTTCGCGTGATCGCACCCTAATCATTTGTTCCCACTTGGGTATCTCCTGTTTCGTCTATACGCGTTACAGACCTGCCGGAGGGAAAAGAGCCGTTGGAATGGAACATGCGAATGCACGTGGCTGCTGGTGCCGCCAAGGGTCTCGAATATCTACACGTCAAGGCGAATCCTCCCGTTATATATCGCGATTTCAAATCATCAAATATCCTTCTCGACGAATCATGGCATCCGAAGCTCTCCGATTTCGGCCTCGCGAAACTGGGCCCGGTTGGCGACAAAACGCACGTTTCCACGCGAGTTATGGGAACGTACGGTTACTGTGCACCCGAGTACGCTATGACGGGTCAGCTTACAGTGAAGTCGGACGTGTACAGTTTTGGTGTCGTGCTTTTGGAGCTGATTACCGGTCGGCGGGCGATTGACATGAGGAGGCGACACGGCGAGCACAATCTCGTCGCATGGGTAAGCCACGTGGCAGCCATTGGTTGGATGGCCGAACCTAAGGGGTGTTGTGTGATGGTGCAGTGAGGGTGAGAGGGTGGGTGTGAAGGAGTGAGAGAGGGGGTGGTGGTACATGCTTGCTACGATTCCTCCTGTGAAGAGCTGAATTCCTAGAAACGTGCACGTTCTTCACAGCCCATGTCTTTCGAAGCTATATTCCTCATACTCTCTTTCCTCTCCCTCTCCCTCTCCTCCCCCTACCCGTCTCTCCCGCCTTCCCCCCACCCCCTCCACCAGGCTCGACCGTTATTTAAAGACCGGCGGAAGTTTCCAGCCATGGCGGACCCGGGGTTGAGGGGGCGCTACCCGATGCGAGGGCTGTATCAGGCTCTCGCGGTGGCGGCGATGTGCTTGCAGGAGCAGGCGGCTCAGCGACCCATGATTGGCGACGTGGTTACCGCATTGAGCTACCTCGCCAACCAGCCGTTTGACCCAGAAAAGATTTCCAGGTGGGTGGGTGATGTTGGCGAGTGGGGTGGGTAGTGGTGAGGAAACTCGGCGGTGGCGCCGAAATGTGCATGTGCAGCGCGTTTTGCTGTACCTGAGAGTTCAGTATTTAGTTATTAAACCCTTTTTAAGCTTATATCAACTCGCAATCACCATTGCCTTTTCTTCTTCCCATCCCCTTTCCTGTTCGTTCAACCACAGGCCGCCACCTGGCACGCCCCAGCACAACCCCATGGACCGCCGAAGCAACTCCAGTGGAGGTGGGGGAGGGGGCGAACGCAAGGGCTCGCGCTCCCCCGCCCCCCATCACCACGGGGGGGTGAGACGCTCCGCCCTGTCCCCCATGCAATCACCTGATGTGAGGCACATGCACCACCACCATGTGAACCACCACCGGTTTTCCGAACGGGGCGAGGAGGAAGGAGGAGGAGGGTCAGTGGGTGCTGTTGCGGGGTCGGCGAGTCCGATGCGAGTGAGGGGTGGAGGGGGGTATAGGGAGGGGCCGGTGGGTTATAGGGAGAGTCCGGGGCATGGGGGGGTGGGTAGTGGAGGCAGGACACCGAAAAACCAGAAGGGGTATGGGGAGAATTGGAGGGCGAGAGGGGAGGAGAGAGCGAGTGGAGGAGAGGAGAGTAGGTGAGGTGATGCTGTGAAAAGGTGAGGGAGCCGAGGAAGCACAAGGGAGATGCAACCTAGTCATGCAGCAGGTATTGGATCTGGAGGGATGGACGGTATGAAATGGACCAGCAAGGGTTTTAAACTGGCGTGGCAGCAGAATATGGGTCTTGATGACAGTTTCTGGGCGTTGACGTGTCTACATGACGTTATCAGGGCATCGATCTGGCACTTCCTTGTTAGAACACCAACTTGCTCGTTCTCCGACCAAGACAATTATAGAAATATGGTGGTTTAGGTAATTGGACCTTGGTCGTTTCTTGCAACAGGTATATTGAACAGCTAATATTATGAGAGATTGGGGATGTGGTTGCGAATCACTACGGGTGGGTGAAAATGCAGGGGATATAGCTTCTGTCACGCAGGGGTTGCTGGATAAGCCGTGTGTGGTTTTGTGTTGTGATCCTGTTATTTCTTTAGAGATGAACGATCATAGTTATCTTTTCTCTTTCAGAACTTTGTCCATATTAGCTCCATTGCTCCACATCAAGCAAAACAAGATGCATTCTTTTTAGGTTTGTCAATGTAGAGCTGCTGGTTTTGCTATACATGGAATAAACTTCCAGGGTTGAAATGCAGGCAAATGATTTGCAAATTTGACGATGTACAGTATATCCTCTACATTAGTTGTCAACGTTTCCCGTGAACACCCAACCTTGTTTGAGCGGTCTTCGGTCCTGACAGCCATTCCCAATGGTGGAGTGTAGCACTTGTTCCCGAACAGTGTTTTCGCCTTGGGAGCACCGGCCATGCTGCCATGGAGCTTGTCGTGGCCCAGCATCCAATTGATCATTATCGTTGGCGAAAATCGTATGGGGGTCGACGAATATAGACCTCCCTCGACGACACAGCTTACGACAAAGTCGTTGTTCCCAACGACAAGGGTAACCTTCGCGATCTTCGCGAGGAAGTGGGTCCTCTATTCGTGGTACCCCAACATCCACTCCCATGTCAGCCATGTCGAGACTCGTGTCGTGACAGCCTGGCAATTGGACACTCTCGAAGTGGTGTCTCTCCCGCCCGCGTGTTCCTTTTCGATTCACTCACCACGGTTCTGTTGGATGAGTTGCGTTCTAAAACGGTGAAGGCATCGCACCGTTCTGTACCGTTTTAGATGACTTTTGAACCACACTGAACGGTCCCCGGTTACCTCCTAGCAAGCCAAGCCAAGGTCTCTCCTCTCCCCACCACTTGTGAGGCCAGCACTCCAGAAAAGCTGCTGTCGTAGCATGTCGCATAGTTTGTCAGGCGAAGTAGGTAGCCAATTAATTAGGTCCTCCTGAAGGTTGTCGTCGTCAGGCCTTCTCGTCAGGCCTTTTCGTCAGGCGATTCAATGGATGATCACCTGCAACACCCGTCAGCGTGATTTGTGCAATCCTGACTGCTGGCTTCACGAGAGCAGTTAGTAGTTTGTGCGTGGGTCCGACAACATTTCGGGGTGTGTCGTGCATTTCCGTAGTATGATTATTGAATCGGTTACACCTTGAGTCGTATGCCCGCGGTCGGAGGATTGTGGGTGCTTCGTGCGTTTCCGCGTGGTTTCCGTCGAGTCATGCGTTATTGTCTAAGCGTCATTCCACTCTTTCTGTGTGGCTTCCTCGGAGCGTTCAGTTTTGTTATCGCCTTCTCAGACACCGTTCTGAAATAGTTTTATTTTTTCAATCTTGAAGCTGGAAGGCTATATCTATTCGACGAACTGCACCGTCGGATTGTCGATTGAAGACGGTTCAGGAGCTGCGTGTGTCTTCGCCGAACTCTATAGCTGAACCTTTTAAAAGCTGGGCGCCTTCAGATTGTCGATAGACGACGGTTCGGAATCTGTTTTCATATTTGTTCCCGCCGGCGCCATAGCTAAACCTAAAGTGTTTCCCAACTTCACCGACAACGCGTCTGGTACAATCCCATGGCGACCACCTCAGCGAAATGAAATGCTGCGATTGGGAGGACTGCCACGTCGGCACCGGCATCGCCGCGCATTGCTGCTCCTGCCAGCACATTTTTCTTCGTCCCGGAAAGCCTCTCGCCAAACTTCGCCGTTCTCCTTCGTCTCCTCCTCATCCTGAAAACCCTACGATGACGTCATCATCCGTCTCGTCAACCCCAAGGTCCGGTGTGTTCCATCGTCCCTTCAGCAGCCCGCAGCTGAACATTTTTTCCCGCGCTTTCAGCAGCAGCCCTGCCAGCGATATTTCGTCTCGTTATAAGCGGTCTCGACGACGGTGGGAATCGGTGACGCATATCATCCCGCTATCTTGCTTCGGTAACGAAGATATGACGCTGGACCATGACGAACCTCCGCAACGTATCGAAGCATCCACACCAACTAGGTCCGGCACGCATGGCTGGGGAACGCCTAGGTCCGGCACGCCTAAGTCCCGTGCGTCTTGGTTCGGCACGTCTAGGTCCGGCACCAAAGCTGATACCGTCCCGGAGCTTGTGCTAGAGGTTCGGGAACGAGCCTGTGCTTCCGAGCCTGCCCCTTCTCGCGCAGAGGGAGCGGCTGATTCCAGTTCAGCGAATAGAGATGCGGACGAAACGGGTAACCATGTCGCAGTGTCGGGTAACCATGTCGCAGAGCCGAGTAACCATGTTAGAGAAACAGGCGAAACGATGGAAGGTTCAGGGGATTCGGAGACTAAAGGGGAAGGTCGGGTGGCGAGGGACGGGGGGACGCAGGAGAATGGGATTGCAGCGATCCGAATGCCTAGCGCGGAGCTTGAACACGCGGGGATAGGGGAGCTGCGCGCGCATGAAGGGGTGGCTGAAGAGCCAGGAGGGGACGCGGGAGCCGCGGAAACGTCACTTGCGGAAGCAGGGGATGCGGAAATGTTAAGAGCACGGGAAGCGGAAGCGCCACGCGCGGAGGCAGGGGAAGTGGAAGCACCACAAGCGGAAGCAGGGAATTCAGAGATACGAAAGGCGGAAGCAGGGGAAGCGGAAACATCACAGGCGAAAGCAGGGGGAGCGGAAACACCACAGGCGGAAGCAGGGGAAAGGGCGGGCGGCACTGGTGCTGACGTGGCTGTTCCTGGTGCTGAAACTGCTGCTGCTGTTGTGGGTGTGGCTGCTGCTTGTCCTGAAGATGCTGCTGCTGCTGAAGGTGCTGACGTGGTTAAGGCTGTGGCAACCGATGCTTGTCAAACGTCAATCACAGCAGCAGGTGTAAGTGTAGAATTCCAAGGAGGCAGTGATTTAGGTGTAGCAGTTGACGAGTCTGTAGTTGTTGACGCGGATCATACTGTAACGTGTATTCCGGATTCTGCTGTGATTGTAGGTCTAGAAGAGAGCAATTCGGTAACGGTAGGTGTAGAGGAGAGTGTAACGGTTGGAAAGAGTGATGCTGTAGATGTAGCAGCAGGCGGGGACGTGGTTACCACAGGTAACGAGCCTGTTATATTTGTTACAGGTGCGGCAGTAGGTGTAGCAACAGGAGCGGCTGTAGCAACAGAAGAGGCTGATTCTGTGGATGTAGCAGCTTCCAACCCTGCAGCCTCCAACCCTGTAGCTTCCAACCCTGCAGCCTCCAACCCTGCAGCTTCCAACCCTGCAGCTTCCGACTCTGCACCCATTATCGCTCTAGAGGATGCTGCTGGCTCCGCTGCTGCTGCTGCTGCTGCTGCTGCTGCTGCTGCTGCGGCGTTTGCTCGTTCACCTAGGGGGGAATCCGAGCTCACCGCTTTCGGTCCTTCTCAGATGATGGCATTGTCTGAGGCCGAACCTGCGAGTCCGAACCTTACACCTAGGCTCGGGGTGCCCAGGCTCGTGCTTCCCAGGGTCGGATCTGGAGCAGGAAGGAGTGTGGCCGAGGGGCAAAGGGCGGACGAGGCGCGTTTAGCAGCAGAGGAACGGGGAGAGAGGGGAGTGAGAGAAGCAGAGAAGTTGGATGGGAGGGAGAGGAGGGAGATTGAGGGGTTGGGGGGTCTTAGTCCGAGCTCCTTCGCTTCTACCCCTGGTGTACAGTCACGCGGCGTACAGTCACATCCCACGGACTCCCCCTCTCCTCAGCCCCGTGTTCCTCATTCACACACTCACCCCTCGATCCGCTCTTTTGCTCCCCCAGACTCTCCTTTTGGGGAATCCCCAACTCCGTCCTCTGAACCGCTCGTGCCGCACTCACACCCGCACCCGTCGCATCCCCCTTTCCTGCAGCCAGACTCGCCCTCCTCCCCCCAACCGCCCGTGCCACATTCGCACACTCACCCGTCGCGCGCACACCCGTCGCGCGCACACCCCGAATCCCTGCAGTCCCAATCTCACCACCCCCAATCCGTGCACTCTCAATCCCTGCAGTCCCAATCCCATCACACCCAAGCCTCTCGTTCCCAGTCGTCTCATTCACTACCAGATGCCGCTGTTCCCGCCTCCTCCCCCCCTCCTGATACCGCCACTCCTAGAAGCCCCCCTTCCGTCTCCCCCGTCCCCCCAAGCCGCCACTCCACCCCTTCCTCTCGTCACCCCCGTTACAATCCCTCTCTGGACCCCGCTCCCCCGCGCCCGCACTCCCCCGTTATAGGAACGTTCTCCTGGGGCGCGACTTATAGCGGGTTTCGCCCCCCAATTGCGCCCTCTAGGTCCGCGCGCACCCCCCCGTCCGCGCTGGGGGGGGGAGATGCGGGGAGAGGAGGAGAGGGGGGAAGAGGCGAGGGTAGAAGGTCAGGTTCTAAGGGAGGGGTTAGTCTGAGCGATAGGATCAGGGGGAAGAAAGAAGCAAGAAGAGGGGGAGGAGCAGGAGATAGGGACCCGGCAGGTGAAGGGGATGAGGAAATTGAAGGGGAAACCCGCGCACAAGCCCCGTATTTATCAATTCCCGGGGAGGATGGCGAGGAGGGGAATCCACCCTGGAAATCAGGCGCGGCCGAACCTGAGCTCACGCCCCGGTCCAACTCCCTCCCAAACGCCTGCTCCCCGTTCTCCCTGCTCCTCCCTTCGGATATCAACAGCCCGAAATGGGCCGGCAGAGGAACCGGCAGCGGCAGAGGGCTGGGGAGTGGGTTAGGAGGAGTTGGGAGCGGTAGCAGCAGGCAGAGCGGCCAAAGCCAGTCTAGATACAGCCGGGGGCAGGGGCAAGCTCAGGGGGACGAACTTCTTGGGGTTGGGGATAGCCCGGCCTGCTACAGCCCGGGCGGCAGCACCCGCCGCCCTGCTACAGCCGGGGGGTCTGTAGCAGGGACGCCTGTGGCGGGTACCCCCACTGCCCGCACGCCCACGTTTGGGAGGAGGCTGAGGAGGCAGAGGGGGCCGTCTTTTGGCGGGTCTTCAGAGCTGCTAGGGCTTATGGGGAAAGGGGCGATCAAGAAGGGGCTTGCTGCGGGTTTGAAGAGTGTGCAGAGGTGGAGAGAAGGGGGGAGTGGAACGGGGAGTGATGTGGAGTGGGAGGGGGAGGGGGGGTGGGGTGGGGAGGGTTTTGATTCGCCGAGAACGGGGGAGAGTGGAAAAGGGGGAGGGGGGGAGGGAGGAGAGGCGGGGACTGGTGGTGCTGCGGGTGCTCTTGCTGCTGGCGGTAGCGGGAGCAGCAGGTCAGGTAGGAGGTCCCTTCTGTCGAGCTTTCTATCAGACTCATCAGACAAAGACAAGGACAGGGAGAGGCCTGGGTCCGCGTCTAAGAGGAGTCGTCTCCGAAGCAGCAGCTTCGGCTCGTTACCCTCCCCCGGGGGTGCTGGTGCGGGCGCAGGCTCGGGTGGTGGTTCGGGTGCGGGTGGCGGTGCTTCGGGTGGTGGTGCTGCCGGTGGTGGTGTGAGCAGAAGCAGCTTTGGTTCTAGTTGCGACGGGGAGGAGGACGGGGAGGATTCAGAAGACTTGGTACAGGAGGGAAAGCTATGGGAGCAGCTAGAGGAGAAATACCAGGAGCCTCTCTCTGCTGAAGCTGCTGCCGCTGCCGCTGCAGCAGCCGCCGCTTCTGCTGCCTCTCCTGGCGCTGCTGCTGGTGGTTTCGGTGGTGCTACCCCTAATGCACCGTCCCCAAGTGGCGCCTCCCCCTCTCTCGCTATGGCTCTCACCCGAAGCATGTCTCTGTCCCGCAATAAAGCCCTTTCCAGAGGTATGTCTATGGCTGCCAGTCGTAGCAGCAGCAGGGAGGCGGCGGATGAAGGGGAGACGGGTAGCGGCAGTGGGGGGAGAGACGGCGAAGGGGAGAAGCTGGGGGGGAGTGGTAGGCAGGGGCGGGCGGCTGGGCGGGCGGCTTTGCCTAGGCCGAAAAAGAAAAGGTGGATGAGGAGGGATGTGATAAAGGAGGAGACGAAGGAGGAGATTGAGGAGGAGAGGGAGGAGACGGAGGAGAAGCAGCAGGGTGGGTTTGTGGAGGCAGGAGAGGGGCAGGGGGCGGAAAAGGAGGGTGTACAGGTAGGGAGCGGGGATGCTGAGGAGGAGAGGAGGAATGAGGAGGTGAGGAGGATTCTGCGTAGCTTGGCAGGTGGGGAGGGAGGAGGAGCAGAAGGAGGAGGGGGAGGAGGAGTGGGAGGGGGAGGAGGGGAGGAAGAGGAGGAGAAACGGCCTTCTCTAGCTGTGATGTTTCAGCGGTCTATAAGCCTGAGGCTTGCACCCGGGGAGAGGCTAGGAGGGGGAGGGGGAGGAGGAGTAGGAGGAGGTGGAGGGAGACGGGATGGTGGCGGGGAGAAGTTAGGGGTTATGGATGCTTTTAGAAGGCAGGTCACGCTGAGAAGCAGGCCTGAACGGGTTGAGGAAGAGGAAGCCGGTGGAGAGCGGTTGGGAGGGATGGAGCTGAGAAAGCAGGTGACGTGGAGAGGGGACGGGAGGAGAGGCGAGGGGAGGAAGGGAGTGTTAGGGTTCAGGAGTCTTGCTGCTGCGGTTGCGGCTCTGGTGGGGGTGGGAGGGCGTGAGGTGAAACACGGGAGTGGGGAGGGACAGGGGGAGGAGGGTAAGGGGAGTGGGGAGGGTAGGGCCGGGGAGGGTCAGGGAGAGGAGAGTGAGGGTGAGGAGGGGCGGAAGGATGGGGAGGAGAGTAGTGATGATGGGGAGAGGGAGACAGTGGGGGAGGAGGAAGGAAAGGAAGGGGAGAGAGGGGAGGAAGTGAAGGGGGAAGGGGTCAAGGAGGATGGAAATGAGGAAGGTAAGATGGACGAGGGTGCTGGTGCTGGTGCTGGTGCTGGTGCTGGTGCTGGTGCTGGTGCTGGTGCTGGTGCTGGTGGGGTGGGGGATTTGGGAGGAGGAGAAAGAAAGTCAGAAGTTTTAATTGAAGTGACGCGAGAGGGGGCAGCAAGGCAGGAACTTACTCCCACTCTCACTCCCTCACTCACTCCCACAATCACTCCCTCACTCACTCCCACACTCACTCCCACACTCACTCCAACACGCACCCCCAGCAGTAGTGCCAGGTTGACTGGCGTTGACTCAGCCACACTTGCCCATGAATCCGGTGTTGAGTCAGCTCAGGCGTTGACTGGCGTTGACTTGGCCACACTTGCCCATGAGTCTGGTATTGAGTCAACTAAGGCGTTGACTGGCGTTGACTCGGCTACTCTTGACCATGGTTCTGATGGTTCCCCTCTAGGGCCATCCAGAAGGGGAAGTTTCCACCAGCTTTCTCCAAAAGAAGGCTCACCATTGGTGGATAGTCAGGAAACGAGCTTTCAGCCAGAAGAGCAGCGGCAGGAGAAGCAACAGCAGCAGCAGCAGCAGCAGCAGCAGCAGCAGCAGCAGCAGCAGCAGCAGCAGCAGCAGGAGCAGGAGCAGGGGCAGGGGCAGGGGCAGGAACAGCAGCAGCAGGAGAAGCAGGAAGAGGGAAAATCGGAGAATCAGCCCCAAACGGAGGAGAATCAACAGCAGCAGCGGGGTGGCGGGGAGGGATCGGAGGGGAAGCAGCAGGCTTCAGGGAGGGCACAGAGGCTGCTGGTAAGGCACCACTCTCTAAGCAACAAGGCACTAGACGCTGCGAATCAGAGTATGGGTGTGGATTTGGGTTTGACAGGGCGTGATGATGCTGCTGCTGCCACCAGCAGCAGCAGCAATACCCCTGCGAACAACAGTGGCAGCGGTGCTGGTGGGTTTGGTGGCAACCTGCCTTTGCTACGGACGAGTACAGAGAGAATCGTTCGGTCGACCCGCAGTTTGGCTGTTAAGAAGTATTTATCCCCGTCTTCCTCGCTGGTTCGACGGGCAGGAGCAGCAGGGGGGGCAGAGGGAGCAGCAGAGAGAGCAGGGGCGGGAGCGGGGGGAGGGGAGGGATCGGGAGGAGAGGTGGGTGGGACGGGAGAGGAGGGTGAGTGTGAGGGTGGTGTGGGGGGGGTGGTTAGGGCGCGGCCTGGGGGGGGCGCGGCAGGAGTGTCGTTTTACTCGTTTGACCGGCATCGAATGGGGTTGGCTGCGATGGAAGCGAAGAAGAGGGGGTGGAGAGGGGCGGAGAGGATTGGGGCGGATAGATTAAGGGTGGATGGAGGGGGGGGGGCTGAGGTATGGGGAGCGGAGGAAGGGGCGGAAACGTGGAGAGTGGAGGGAGGGGCGGAGGTGTGGGGGGTAGGAGCAGAGGCGAGTGAAAGAGGTGAGAGGTGGGTCGGAGAAACGGAGTATACGCAACCGCATGAGAGGTGGGTGGGGCCTGAGGATGGGTATGAGGGTGAAAGGCAGGACTTGGGGACTCAGACTTTGGATTATGGGGAGGTTCATGCAGAGCAGTATGAGGAGCAGTATGGGGAGGGATATGGAGAGCAGTATGGGGAGCAGTATGGGGAGCAGTATGGGGAGCGATATGGAGAGCAGGAGCAGTATCAGGTGCAGTATGAGGGGCAGTATCAGGAGCAGTATCAGGAGAATTATCAGGAGAATTTTCAGGAGAATTACCAGGTGGATTATCAGGAGCAGGAGCAGTATCAGGAGTATCATGAGGAGCAGTATGAGGAGCAGGTGTATTTTGAGGGGCAGAGGAGGCAGGTTCGACAAGGGCTTGAGCAGGAGTATGTGGAGAGGGGGGTGTACGGGCAGGAACAGCAGTTTCAGGGGCAGCAATTCGGGCAGGAACAACAGTTTGATGGGCAGCAATTCGGGCAGGAGCAGCCGTTTGAGGAGGGGGAGTTCGGGCAGCAGCAGCCTTTTGACGGGCAGCAGTACGGGCAGGAGTATGAAGAGTTGGGGTATGGGGAGGGACAGTCGGAGCAGCAGCAGCAGCAGCGTCAGTGGCAGCAGCAGCAGCGCCAGTGGCAGCGAGAGAAGGAGAAGGGGAAGGGGAAAGCAGCGTTAGATGAGTGGGAGTTTGTGCTGCAGAGAAGCGGAACTAAGAGCCCCATGGGGGGTAGTATGCAGGTAGGTAGGCAGGGTGGGAGCGGACGGGGGGGTGAGGAGAGAGGAAGGGTAGAGAGGGGTGGAGAGAGGGGAGGAGGGATGGGAGGATTGATGGGAGGAGAGAGGGGGGGAGAAGTGGAGCGAGATGAGTTGGAGGGGCAAGGGGAGGGTGAGGGGAGGAAAGAGGGGAGGTCGTCATACTGGGTAGAGCTTCGCCCTGATGAGGAGGAAATGCGCGAGAGTCAGTTTCGAGACAAGCAGTTGCGAGAAAGGCAGTTTCGCGAGGGGCAGTTTGCTGCTAGTTCTCATGGGAGTGAGAGGAGTGTGGGTGGAGAGTCGGATTATGAGAGGGCGGAAGATTATGAGAGGGCATCAGAGTATGAAAGAGGATCGGAATATGGGGCATCGGAGTATGAAAGGGCATCTGAGTATGATAGGGAAGGTTATTTCGAGCATGAGGGAGAGGAGAGGGAGGAAGCGGAGAGAGGTGCGAGGGTATATGAGGAGAGAGAGGAGAGAGAGGAGGGGGAAGAGAGGGATGAGTTTGTGGATGACGAGGAGTTTCAAGAATTGATCGATGGCAGTGCTGCTGGTGGTGGTGCTGGTGGTGGTGCTGGTGCTGGTGCTGGTGCTGGTGGTGCTGGTGCTGGTGCTGGTGCTGGTGCTGGTGCTGGTGCTGGTGCTGGTGCTGGTGCTGGTGCTGGTGGTGCTGGTGGTGGTGGTGGTGGTGAGGGGATGAGAGATGAAAGACAGCTATTACAACCCCCACACCAACAGCTACACTCCCCACACGAATTGCCTCACTCCCCACACCAACTGCCACACTCCCCCCAGCAGCAACAACACTCTCCTCACCAGCATCAGCACTCCCCCCACACCCATTCCTCCTCTCGCTCCCCATCCTCGCACCGTAGTCACTCACTCTCCCCAAGTCCCCATGCCAGCTCGGCCCGTGCTTACCGAGCCAGTTTAGGCCCGGCCAACACCATACCTGGGATGCAGGTCCGGGAGGTGTTCAGGTCCGATTCGGTGAGCACTTCGGAAGACGAGGAGGAAGGGGAGGGGAGGGAGGTGGGGGGGGCTAGGGGAAGGAGTGGTGAGAGGGAACCTAGGGGACAGAGTGGGGAGGGTAAGCGAGGGAGCGGAATTTTCAGGTCACTTTCTCGCTCCCGACTTGCTCAATCTTCCAGTTTTTCGGGCAGGACCAGCGAGCGAAATCTTTCGGGCAGAAGTGCAGGTGCATCTGACCTGGACCGGGCAGATTCAGGTGATTTCAGCAGAGGGGGTCCAGGTGGATTCAACAGAGTGGGCTCAGGTGAATTCAACAGGGGTGCCCGTGTACCCAATAGAGCAGGCGGCTCAGGTGAATTCAACAGAGGAGGGTCAGGTGCTCTGGCAGGATACGACATGGAAGGTGATTATATTGAGGGTGGCTATATGGATGGGAATGAGGACTCCGCATTGAATGAAGAGTCTGCTTTGACCCTCCAGGCTCAGATGGTCTCTGGAGCTCGCAGAGAGGGAGGGAGGGCGAGGGAAAGATTCATGGAGGGGAATGAAGAGTCTGCTTTGACCCTCCAGGCTCAAATGGTCTCTGGAGCTCCTAGGGAAGGCGGGAGGGCGAGGGAGAGGTTCATGGAGGGAGGGAGGGCGAGGGAGAGGTTCATGGAGGGAGGGAGGGCAAGGGAGAGGGAGTCCAGGAGGGTGGAGAGAAATGGAAGAGGTGGGGTGGATGGGAGGGATGGAAGGGCCGTTGTGAGGGGTAAGGAGGGTGAAGTGCAGGGGTATGGGGATGACAGCGATGGATATAGTAGTGACTCCAAGGGCCACTCCGATCATGAAAGGCAGCAGCAGCAGCAGCAGCTTATGACGAACCAGCAGCAACAACAGCAGCAGCAGCCGCAGCAGCAGCAGCAGCAGCAGCAGCAGCAGCAGCAGCAGCAGCAGCGGCAGGCGCAGCGGCTTCCCGTTCGTCGCAGCCAAACAGAGATGAAGCGGCCCTTGCTGCTGCCCCGCCCTGCTCCCCCTGGGAAGGGCCTTGCTGCCGCTTCTACTGCTGGTTCGGCCGTTGGCTCTGCGGTTGGGAAGGGTTCAGGGTCGTTTGAAGGAGCTGCAGGCGCGTTCCCCCGTTCCTCCTCTCTGGGTTCAGACCCTCAGGACCAGTCTGCAGCAGCAGGAGTAGGAGAAGCAGGAGCAGGAGGAGGAGTAGCAGCAGCAGGAGGAGGAGCAGGGGGAGTGTGGTTCCAACCCCAGTCCAGTGGGCCACAGACGTTCCAACGCAGCTTCACGGACAGAAGACGGCCCGTTCTCCCGCCCCACCCTGTTTCCATTGCTGCTGTTCCCCGCATTTCTGCGAGAGAGTGGCTAGCAGGAGCAGCACCAGGAGCCTCTATAAGCCCAGCAGCAGGAGCAGCAGGAGCAGCAGCAGGAGCAGCTGCAGGAGCAGCTGCATTCCTCCCACAACCCCAGTCTGCTGCGAATCCGCCATTCTACCCCCAGGCCGGCGGTCCCCAGGCGTTTCAGCGCAGCTTTACGGATCGAAGGCGGCCCGTCCCTCCTCCTTACGCCGCTGCTCCCGCTCCCGCTCCCGCTGGTGGTGCTGTTCCCCGCGTTTCTGCACGAGAGTGGCTGACAGGAGAAGCAGCAGCAGCAGCAGTAGCAGCAGCAGCGGTATCAGCGCCCACGGCAGCAGGCAATACAGCAGGCCAGCTTTCGCACCCCAGTGCTCCCCGTGATTCCAACACGCCCAGTCCTTTGAGTGGCCCCTTAGCCCCCCGTGCTCCGCGGCAGTTCCAGCGCAGCTTGACCGACCGAAGGCGGGCGCCCCCTGCCTTCGTTCCTGCTCCTCCTCCTGCTGCTGCTGGTTTCTCCCCTAAAGACTGGGTAGCAGGAGGAGGAGGAGGAGCAGCAGCAGCAGCAGCACCCCACCACCCGCACCCCAGTGCTCCGCATGCCGCCCGTGCGGCCAGTGCTCCCAGGCAGTTCCAGCGCAGCTTGACCGATCGACGAAGGCCCGCTGCTACCTTCGCTCCCGCCCCCCCTGCTCCTGCTGTTATCTCAGCCAAGGACTGGATAGCAGGGGCGAGGGTGGGGTTGTCGGGAGGAAGAGAGAGAGGAGGTGGGGTAGGGGGAGGGGCGGGAGGGAAGCGGCTGGTGGGAGGGCGGAGGTTACAGAGGCAAATGTCTGAGAAAACGTTTCGGGAAGGGGGGAGGAGGGGGTGGGAGAGTAGTGGGGAGGAGGCGAGAGGTGATGGTGACTTGTGGGGTGATGCTGCTGCCTCCGCTGCTGCTGCTGGTAGACGGACTGATTTCGAGACTTCTGGTTTTGAGACCTCTGGTTTGGGGAAGCCTCAAGGGTTGGATAGGAGAGTTGCTCCCAGCAGGTTATCTCGGGGCGATTCGCTTGGTAGGGCCGCAGCAGCAGCCCTTGCTGGTGGTGGTGGTGGTGCTGGTGGCGAAATCACGATCACAGGAGCTGCGTATGTAGCAGCAGCATCAGCTGCTGCTGGTGCTGCTGCTTCTGGTGCTGGTGCGGCTTCTGACTTCTATCGCAGCAACTCTTTAAGGAGGATGAACCGACCACCCCTTTCCCGTAACGACTCGCTGGGAAGGGGCGAATTCAGCAGCAGCAGCAGCACGGTCCGTGTCAGTCCCCACGACCCCCGCTCGTTCCATCTGAGCGCGAGTGGAGAAGGGGGGAGGAGTGCCGGGCTGATGCGTAACAACTCGCTGGGACGCGGTTACCACGCGCGCAGCCACAGAGCGAGCAGCTGGCATGAGGAAGTGGGAGGGTATGAGGGGTATGAGGAGGAGTCTTATTCTCATTCTCGTGAGGAGTGGTCGCAGCCCTTGGCACCCCAGCAACGGCAGCACCAGCAGCGAATGCTACCCCAGCAGCAGCAGCAGCGGCAGCAGCAGCTGGAGCAGGAGGAGCAGTGGGAGCGGCAGGAGCAGAGGCGGAGGCAGATTCAACGGGGGAGCAAGTCCGGAAGAGAGAGAGGGTCGGAAAGAGAGAGAGGTTCGGGGAGGTCCGGGCCACTTAGCCGCGGCCGAAGCAATGCTCCCAGAGGCCCGGCAATGGTGCATGATGCATATGGGTATGGGGCGGGAGTAAGTGGGGAGGATGATGAGGATGGGGATGGGTATGCGGATGGGGAGGATGATGGGGGTTATGGCGGGGGGGTGAATGTGCTCCCAGTGTCACTGGAACGAGCGGCTACACTGAATAGCTCTTCGTATGAGAGCCAACGCAGGCATTTGGATGTTACAAACTGGTTACCGCAACCGGCGCTGGCGCCTCCGTCTGCGTTCCGTCGGCCGTCGCAGCGTTGAGTGGTGCGGACTGGTCACCTCAATAGGTCGTTGCATAGCGTTTTTTCTGTGATATTTTTCTGGTAGGTTGTGTGTGCAGGCATAGTTACAGTACTGCGTAGGTATCTTGGACGGCATGACTTCACACAACAGCACCCGATACTGGTAGGTAGATGGGTGCTTAACTTACAGTATGCTTTGTAGTTTCACAACACCATTTTGTAGCATGGTAGACGATGCTATTGAGGGGTTTGTGGAGCAGTTGTACAAACATTTAAGGGATTGTCGTGAAGCCCTAGTATACCCTTTTCGAACACTGTTCTTGTATACATCACCTACTTCTGGTGTATTTCATTTACAGAATTTTTTTCCTTTCCCACCTTCCTTTACAGAAGCGACTATCCCCACGCCACTGTTCCCTTACGCCTGTCTCCCACGAATATGCGAAGCCGAAATCTCATCGCGGACTCCGAAACGTAAAGCGCGCGAGGATGTGCGACATGGGCATCCATTGTTGTCGCTTTCGCCACGGCACCCAGGGTTCCTAACATTTCCGAGCCGCATGTGTGGCCTTGACGGGCGGTTCGAGATGAAATCCCCAGCCCCATCTAGGAGGAAGGGTTCCTCCTGGGAATCCTGGCCTGTTCCATTGCGCCTCACCTCTTCTCACCTCGCTTCACCGTTTTGTAGCTTACCTCGCTTCCCCCCACCTCGCCTCGCCTCCTCGCACCTCTCCGTTACGGTTTCTCCACATTCCCCTGCGGTAGGCAGTAGCAGCAGCCTTCATCATCCCTTCTTGCCCCAAACCAAGCGCTATCTCCAGCGAACGCTGATCGCGCTCACACACACAACATGCTTTTTGTGAGTGGAAGTTGGGACGGGACACGTCCACGTCATAAATGTGTGGAGCCCCAGCGGAACCCTGGGCGCCGTCATAAACGTATTGGGGGCGTGGGCTTTAGGGGGTAGGCGCGAGATGGTCCAACCAACCAATGTGCTTTGTGAGTTACGTGACCGTGGCCAATGACGCCTAGAAACGGGATAGACACGACTTTACTGGAAGAAATCTCTCTAGGGAGTTTGTTGTTTGCAGAGTTGGCCAGAATCTCGCCACCGAAGAATGCCTTTGCTGCTGTTTGTCGACGTAGGTAGACTCTAGCAAAACGTCAAGCCTTAGTGAGATTCCTGAAGGCCTTGCTAGTTTTCCTAAACGTTGCGTCTGCCTGTTCGACAGCTACTACCAGCCATTGATTTCATTGACATTTCTAATCGACTTAGTCCCCCTCTTTTTGCGCATCGCAGTTCCCCACGCTCCACGCGAAGCAGTATGTTTTTGCCGGCGCATTTCACGCGAAGCACCGATACGGGATCGCTATACGTCCATCATACTGCGGATATGCTGCTACTATTATTGTGATTGGGGCACTCGTTGAGTGATCTCGTTGCGTAACCCCTTATCGCTGAACTTTGGCTTCTCTACGAGTTAGAGCCCGTTATCACTCAACAAGTCGTTAGGCCGTTAGAATTGGAGAAACTGTATTGCTGCCTAGAGAATTACATTTTTAATACAAACTAGAGATCTGTGGGCGCAATAATATGATCAACAGCAGCATATGTCGACGCTGCGTTCCTGTAACGAAACGGCTTGTAACAAGCGAGGATGGCGAAGCCAGGTGCTGCAGGGGGCGTGGGGAAGCTGCCGCGCGGAGCATGCGGAGCAGGGCTCATTTTCACGGCTTGGCGCCGCTTGTCGTCGCTATAATCGTATCGATAAGCTTCGCCGTTCCTGCTGCTCCGCTCGCATTAAAGCAAAATCCACGTACGTTTCCAGCTCATGATTTCCCGTTGCGCGGTGAATCCACATACTGTCCGTTACAATGTACCGTACTTGCATTGCACCTTACATCGCACGTTTCATCCCACCTTTGCAGCCCATTCCGTTTCCCTGTCACTCCGTTCACTTAGAAGAATGCCCTAAATCTTGTCGAATCGTTCTAAGAAATACCATGTGGTAACCACATTGTTGCAAAATTCCCACGTGCCAAATGCGCATTCCTTCCTCTTGTTACAGGCGCTTGTGACTATGCGACCGGGAGCTGGATACCCGCTCCAGTGCGCTTCCCTCGTTACAGTGGCGTCAATACGACGAGCCGCTATCAGTGCAAGTACATGCGCGCGCTTTGGAATTGCGACGGCACGGGCAGGCCCGACAAAATATACCGCTCGTACCGCTGGCAACCCGAGGGGTGTAACCTGACTTACGTCAACCCGTGGGGCTTCTTGAGACTCATGCGAAACAAGGTGAGCGAAAAGTGCGCGAGCAATGCGAAAACAGCAGAAAGATTTTGCATTGCAAATAATTGCATTCACGATACCGCTTCACTCCCCCACCTCTACTCCCTACTTATCTCACTTCCCCTTCCCCTCCCGCCTCCTTTACTCCCCCCTTCCCTTCCCTCACCCCTCCTCCCTCCCCATTCCCGTCCCGCCTTTCACGCGTTAGATAACCTTTTTAGGCCGCTTAATAGCAGTTTAGTGTTGCTACAGTGAATCAACCGAACTCACCACATTGCCTCAGTATGCATACGTTGTTCTTGCGCCCGATTTCTTGTGTCCCCATTACAGAAACTTCTGATGGTGGGGGATTCGATCATGGGGAACATGTACGAGTCGCTGCTGTGCCTCATCACCTCGGGACCGTTCACGCACCGGGTTAGTATGTCCTAGGCAGGCTAGAGTGAATAGCAAGTTTTTGAGGCGCCTCATAAACGGGTTTTAGAAAAGCTAAAAAGAAGAGCTTGAGAAGCAGAGAATGAGAGAGAACGAAAAGAAGGGGACAATGGCAGATGATGGGAGGCGATCGTTCACGCGCCTGGGGCTCGTATGTGCGTGTGTGTGTGGGTGCGTGGGTGGGGGGGGGGGAGGGGGTATGTGTGTATGCATTGGTGAGAGGTGAGTGGAAGCGAGAGAAAGGTGTGTGCGTACTTTGTTCCACTTCGAAATAAACTATCACTTCCTCCCGCACCTCATGCGCTTGTGACTTATCCTCTTCCCCCCTCCCCACTACCTCTCCTCGCTTCCCCATCCTCCCCGCTCCCCTTCCCTCCCCCCACCCGATTCTCCTCTCCCAGAAAGTAAGCTACCGCACCCCAAGCGGAGCGCGCTTCCGCGGATTCTCCTTCCCCGGTTTCCGCTTCGAGATACACTACTACTTCCTCCCGCACCTCATGCGCTCCGCTATCGGCTATAACGAGAACGGCAAGAAGGGCAACCACGGGTATCAGATCGACGTGGACGTTATCGATCCAGATCTGCTCCACGTCATCCCCGCGTATCACGGGATTATATTTCACTCCATGGCTTGGTGGATGCAGAACGTTCCCGGAAGGAGCAAGAAGAATAGCTATTTCCGCGGCGGGAAGCTGGTCGAAGTTTCCGACGTGGACGCGTATCGCGAGGCGATGCACAATCTCGGGCAGCACCTGAAAAATATGGACTACCCGGGCGTGCCGTATTTCGTCTCGTCCTCTCCGAAGCACTACAGCCCGCCGGCGAATGCCACCAAGGCCGGCGCGTGCGGCGCGACGTCCGTAGTTAAAGCCGCCGTCGCGCAGCTATACCCGACCACGCAGGAGACGGAAAACTTCTACGCGATGCAGAAGCTGTCTTTAACGGGTACGGGCAGCCCGATGCGGCTCCTCCGCGTGACGCGCCTGAGCGCGGTGCGGCCGGACGGGCATCTCGGCCTGTGGAGCGACGACATCG